GGACAAGGTCTGTCAGAGAGGAAGTTAGAGAAATAACGCAAGCTAGGCTTTATGGAGCCATGCGGACCACGGAACAGCTTGTACCTTCCATTCTGAGGGAGACGGAGAGTTGTGGGAGGGTTTCGGCCGGGGGAGTGATAGGCTGTGATCCCTGGGAGGATGTGGGAGACCAGCTAGGAGGTTTCTAGGTGGGCTTCTCTGAAATGACATGGCTTGAAGTCCGTGTCTGTGTCTGTAATTACATTTGTATCTATACTTCTTTTTATATGCAGACACTGTATATGCCTATATACGTAAGTGGATGGAGGGATAAAGGGATGGACGGGTGGATGGACAGATAGCTAGCTAGCTAGATGATAGATAGTGGTTTCATATAGATAAGTATCCATATAATGTAATAAATATATATATTTACATATATATATATATATTTACATATATACCCAAATGTGTGTGTGTGTGTGTGTGTATACACACACACACACATATATGGTATATTTATTTGGCTAATTGGAAAGAAGAGAAACAAAAGTTCCAACGTGTGAGGAGTTGGGGAGAAAAGAGTCTTTAGGGAAGCATTTGGGCGGGCAAGGGAAGCGGAGACTGGGCCCGAGACACCCTTGGACAGCACCTTAAGGAGTTTGGACCTGATCTGGGAGTACTGAGGAGCCATGGTAGGTGTGAGAGCAAACCAGCGTGAGTAGCCTGGTTTCAGAAGGATCCCTGACGGCAGAGCAGAAGAGGTATGTAGGGACCACAGAAATGGCTTTGTGAGTCGTGCAGGTGGAGGCCCAGTAGCCTGGTCTAGAAGGTGGTGGTGTGGACGAAAACAAGTACGCAGTGTGGACGAAAACAAGTACGGTGGGCTGAAGTTACCCTGGTGGGAGTTTATGATGTAGTCACATGTCCTCTTTGCGATGCCAGACCCCTCCAGCCCCTCCCCACCCTCTTCCAGAACCCCCTCTCCACTCACATGCTCCTCTCCACCTAGGAAGGCCTGTGCAAACAGTCTGACCAGAGTGGCAAACAGGGGCTGAAAGCTATCAATATGCCAAACCTTGACTTCCCAGATGGGGCACCTTTTCATAGAAAGCATGGTGGAGGCTAGCCCTGAGGGCCACCCTGAATCTTAATTCTCCATCCACTTGTCAACCTCTCTCATTAGACTTGGATCATTTCTCCATTGTTAGCACTTAGTACAGTGTCTGAGTGTTTACCGAATGAATAAATCGGTGTATAGACGGACGGATAGAAGGAAAGGTGCTATTCTTCCCACAGGATAAGCAACTCATCACAGAAAAATAATCAAGTGGCTCATTAGAATCCTCTTGGAGCATCGTGTCAAGATAACCACCATTCTGGGGCACCTGGGTGTCTCCGTCGGTTAAGCCTCTGACTCTTGATTTCAGCTTAGGTTCTCATGGTTTGCGAGATTGAGCCCCTCCTCGGGATTCTCTGCTTGGGATTCTCTCTCTCCCTGTCTGTCTGTCCCTCCCCCACTCGTGCACACAATCTCTCTCTCTCGAGAAATGAACTTTTTGTTATTGTTTTTAAAAAGATATGACCATTCCTCCAAACCGGGGGAGGACAATTTTTTTCCCAAAAGGCCGGAGAGTACTCAGCTCTAATGCTGTGTACGAAGGCAGAGTGGTAGACCATGAGTCAATGAAGGGGCGTGGCTGCGTTCCAATAAAACTTTATTGGCAGAAACAGGCAGCAGCTAGTTTGTCTACCCCTGGTCTAGATGTCTGTCTCGCCAAGAAATTCTCCCCTCGATTCGTTTCTCCCCAACAGTGCCCTTTCACCTGGTAATGATAGATGATGATGATGATGGTGATGGTGATGATGTGATAAAAATGGTCATTGCTAACATTTAGTCTGTGTTCGCCCCGGATCAGGCACTGGCCTAAGCCTCTTGTGCGTAGAATCTCAATTAGCTCCCACAGCCACCCCACAAGGTGCTGACGCTATCCTATGTCATAGCACGGTGAAAAACGGACGCACAAAGAGATAAGACAGCCCGGGGCACATAATTTTAATGGGCAAAGCAGGCGGTCTGGTCTGAGCACTGAGTCTGGGGCATGAACAACTCGACTCCACGTGTCAGAATAACCATGTTAGTCGTAAGAACAATAATAACCTTGGCTGCAGGCTTTGCTCTGTTCCGAGCACCCAAACACACGCGAAGGGCTTTGCGACGACCTCTCTGAATTTTCTCAACCACAAGGCAAGGTTAGCACCTCGCTGTCACAGCTACCCAGGGTGACACAGTCACAAGGTTGGATTCGTCCGTACCACCTGCCCCAGGCCCGTTGCTCGGAACTTTCCAGAAAATGGACCGTTTGACTCGATGGCCTTGTTCCCCCGACGCCTCGCTCCATCCTGAGTTTTTCCTTCCCGCAGGGGGCTGTGCCTTTGGACTCTCTGGGGGCCTTTTATCTTATCGGACCCTTTCCCCTGCTCACTTTGCTAGCTGTCACGTTTGTTATTCTAGGATAAACTTTCGGCCGATGTAGCACATACTTTGGGGTCAATGCCCCGTGTTATCCCCAGGATAGTTCAAATATTTGTGGCCTTGTCAACCTCCATCCCGCTGGACATGTGCGGTGGCGGAGTGGGAGGGGTGTTCCATGCCTGGAGACCAGTGTGGGCCAGCGCGTGGCAGGAGACCCTGCCTGGGAGGCCACTGAGGGCAGGTGGCAAACACATCGTTTCTTGGCCCCGGGTTGGATGCGTGCAAACGTTAAGACGAGAGAGAGAGGCGAGCATCGGCCGACCATCTCCTCTATGCCTGGTGCTTTCACACACGTTGAAATAAGTGATCTTCCAAATCCACCTGAAGGAAGGCATTCTTCATGACCATTTCATTGACAAGAACACTGAGGCCAAGAGAGCTTAGTGGCCACCACCAAAGGGATTCTTAATACTGTGCGTGCGTGTCTACACCGTATGCCGAGGCCTAGGAACCCCTTCTCAGAGTAGTGCTTCAGGACTCATAAAACAAAACTACGTAGGATTAGGGGCACCTGGGTGGCTCAGTGAGTCGAGCATCTGACTTCGGGTCGAGTCATGATCTCACGGTTCGTGAGTTCGAGCCCCGCGTCGGGCTCTGTGCTGTCAGTGCAGAGCCCGCTTCAGATCCTCTGTCTCCCTCTTTGAGCCCCTCCCCCACTTGTGCTCTCTCCCCCCAAAAATATTTTGAAAAATGCATAGGATTAGTAAGGAAACCAACCAGACTGAAATACAGTCATCAAGTAAGAAATTGGTGCAGTGTTATTTGTGCTTCTAAATCAATTCTTTTTTTTTAAAAAGTTTTCTAAATGTTTATTTATTTTTGAGAGAGAGAGAGATGCAGAGTGTGAGTGGGAAAGGGGCAGAGGGAGAGGGAGACACAGAATCTGAAGCGGGCTCCCGGCTCCGAGCTGTCAGCACAAAGCCCGACGCGGGGCTCGAACCCACGAACCGCGAGATCATGACCTGAGCCGAAGTCAGATGCTCAACCGACTGAGCCACCCAGGCGCCCCCACCCCCCCGCCTTTTTAAAAATTTTTTTGCTAAATCAATTCTTGAAATGACAAGTCATTACAACCACGATGGCGGAGACGTCCTGTGACTAAAGAATTCGAAATTCTCTGTGACACCAGTGAGGTCGTAGGCCGGGATCTGTGATTTGTACTGGTGACAAGGTTGTGGGGACGGACGGTCCATCCTGCCATGCGTCTGTTGCCTGCCTTCGTCATGGAAAGAAATTGCACTTTGATGTTCGTGATAACGAAGATGTGATATATTTTCTTCCCGATCGAGGTCACAGATGCCCTGAGTTGTATCCACGGAGCCCTTGGGGGTCTGGGGCCCCAGAGCGAGACCCTCTGAGCTGGGAGAAGCATGGCGGGCTCCAGAGATCCACACTTGCCACTGTGAGGTCCCCCCCCCCCCCCCAGCTCCTCACATCCTGTCCTCTGGCTTTGTCCCCAAGTGAACCAGTTAGCCTGACTGCTGGCTGGGAGGGCAGGGCGGCCTTTGAAGCCATGCCTCTCTTTGATGTGCACATTCCGTCAAGGCCCTTCCTCGAGTTGGGCAAATCTCCGTTGCCCCCTGCAAACCCTCCCTTCGTGAACATCCCCCCCCACCCCCCCGCCCCTGAAACAGTCCAAAGACCTCTCTCACACGGTTTCTGTTAGTTTTATGGTTTTTGTTTTTCCGACCCAGTAAACCGGCGGCCTGGGGGGGCTGGACTTTCAGACAGAACTTTAGGCTTTGGAGAACGACGTCGTTTTCAGAGAAGTCTTCATTTCAGGCCGGGCTTAAGAAACAGAGTGGCTTTGCTTAAGGAAACCATACACACAATTCAAATATGGCGGCACGATGACCGAGCCACGAGGGTTCTCAGACGTACACGGGGTTGGATTGAAACTCCTTGCTCTGTGGCTCTGGGGAGGTCACATACACTTGCTGAACAGAGAAGAGAGAGACACCGAGGCAGGCTCAGAAGGGGCACCGACTGGGTACCTGGCACTGTATTAGGCATTTACAGGTGTTTTCTCGAACCTTCCCAACAGCCCCCCAACAGCCCTACTTTCTCCCAATGAGAAACCTAAGGTCAGAGAAGTGATACGGCTTTTCCAAGGTCACACGGCATGAATGGCGGAACCCAGGCCTCGCTGAGCCTTAACGCTCCGCGGAAGCAAAGCCCCGGAGATCGCTCTGGGAAGGCAGGGGACTGTCCCTTCCAGGGCAGGACTCCAAATGGTCCCACTCCCAGTGGGCTGACGGTGGCAGCTGCTCCTCCAGGATAAGAGTCAACATGGGCGGGGCATCTGGGTGGCTCAGCCGGTTAAGCAGCCGACTCCTGATTTCGGCTCAGGTCACGATCTCAGGATTCGTGGGTTCAAGCCCCACGTCCGGCTCTGTGCTGACAGTGCGGAGCCTGCTTGGGATTTTCTCTCTCTCTCTCTCTCTCTCTCTCTCTCTCACAATAAAGAAATAAACTTAAAAACAAGTTTTTTTTTTTAAAGTCAACATCGGCAACTCGCAAAGAGGACACGAGGGAAGGGCTCCAGGATCTTCGAACAGGCTGAAGAAGGAGGGGCAGTGGGGGCCTAACCCATCGGAAGAGGCAGCTTTCTGCCGACCCAGCAGATGCTCCAGGGCTGGCTGGGCTGCAGGGATGACACAGGGTTGTGGCTTATGTCCACGCCGATGCGGAGGCTGCAAGACGAGACAGCCGTTGCCCGGGATGTGCTCTGACAGCTACCCGCATCACAGGAGCGTGACCGTATCTTCAGCACCACCTTCCTGTTGCCAAGACTCTGTGAACTTGAACTCCCGGGACCCCCGCATCACGCTTCTGTGGCCTCCCGGGACCAGGCTTGGGGCCCGACATCCCACGCAAGGAGATGAGCTTTGCCTGTCCCCTGGCCTCTCTTGCAACCCAGAGCTCACATCTGCAGTCCATCTGGTGGGGCTGGGGAGCACTGTCCAGCGTCGAGGGGAAGGAAGCCTCTCTGTGGGTATTTCAGGCCTGGCCTGCACAGCCTGACCCGCCTCCTGGGCCGAGATCAGTGGAGAAACTCAGCCCAGAGGGCCGCTTGACAGAGAGGCTTCTGGCCTTGACTTTCAGATTCCTGAGTCATCTCTCCTTGGGCCCATCCTCGGCCTGGCTTCCTTGCAGGGGCCTTTGATGAACAGATGAGATAATGGATCTGCTTTGAAAAAGATAAAATGCTGAACAAAAGGTTGTGCTGGCCACAGCAATGGGTGTGATGGGCAGGCTAAACCTTGAACTTCCTTCCTGTCCCAGGGCAAAGACGGCTTCCAACCTCCACATATCCGGGGCAGCCAGCTTGCCCGGTGACCCCACCTCTTCCCACCCCCATTAGAGCGAGCACGCATCCACGAACCGGCGGAATCATCAAAAAGGGATGATCGGTTTGGCCGGCGTTTGAATTTACCCATTTTACAGATGAGGAGACCGAGGCAAGGAGGACTTAAAGAACGGGCTCGAGATCGGACAGCTACGTGGTACCGGCGCAGGCTTTGGACCCAGGCTTACTCATTCGAAACCCTGACCGGACACCAGGCATTTAGTTAAAACGTCTTCAGCTGGAAGAAAATACAACAGATCCATGGCAACGACAAACATGCGATTTTGCAAAAATGTCCGTGTCGGCTCCTCCAAACCTGTAGAGAAGATGACGCCCCCCCCCCGCCCCTCCCTGCAGCTGGGGCTTTTGGCGTGAGCTGTACCAAGCGGACGTCCCACCGCAGAAGGAGGAGAGATTGTAGGATCGCACACGTGGAAGGAACGCCAACGACTATGTAGGGCCAGCAACCCCCTCCACCGCAGCTACGCCAAGAGGCTGTCCGGCCGATGCTTGGACGCTCACGGACATCCTGCAAAGTGGCTTACGCTATTCCCAGACAGCTTACCTTTGGACAAACTGACAGAATCTGTTAGCACAGAAAAAGTTCTCTTCCTGGAGGAGCGTCTGGAAATGCGTGAAAGAGGGATGGGGCTCTCACACAGTAACGGCAAAACGTCTAAACCAACCTATGTATCTCCAAACAGGGCAATACGTGCATGAAATGTAGTACAATTAACCCTTGAACAACGTGGGGGTCAGGGGGGACTGCCTCCTGGTGCAGCTGACAATCTGCACGTAACTGTGGATCCCTGAAAACGTAACCACTGATAGCCGACTGTTGACTGGAAGCCCTCCAGATCACAAAAGTAGGTGGTATTATATCACATGTTGTATACGTGCTACGTAATATATGCCACGTTCTTACAATGAAGCAAGCTCCAGGAAAGAAAACATCGTTGAGCCAATCCTAAGGAACCTGGCTGTGCTTCTTGAAGAAAATCTCACATAAGGGGACCCGCACACCGCATACCCGTGTTGTTCGAGGATCAACTGTATCATCCTTCAATGGAATATTATATAGCCGTGAAAAAGAATACGCTAAGTCTAGCTGCCCAGTCTCTCCGTAACCCCACCCACCCACACGTACTGTCGTGAATTCAGAATGCATGTCCTCGTTTTCGTATGAGTTTTACAGACTGTACATGAATTCTGAAAAACATACGGGGCCTCTCGGGGGGTTTCAGTTTCTTAAATGGGCTACGGATCACTTCGTGATCAGCATTTTCTCTCTCTGCCATGGTTTTGAAAGATCCCCCTGTTGACACACAGACGTCTGTTTCATCTACTTTGATTGCGATCTTTTTAAAAAATTTTTCTTTCATTTATTCATTTTTGAGAGAAAGAGAGACAGAGTGTGAGCAGGGGAGGGGCAGAGAGAGAGGAAGACACAGGCTCGAGGCTCTGAGCTGTCAGCACAGAGCCTGACGTGGGGCTTGGACTCATGAACCACACGATCTTAACCTGAGCCGAAGTAGGATGCTTAACTGACTGAACCACCCAATTTGTGGGTGTCCCCGATTGTGCTCTTAAAACATGTGCGTGCACGGAATTACCTGTGTCCAGTCCCCTGTTGGTGGGCATCTAAGTCGATGCCGATAAAAATTCTATAGTGGACATACTTGGATATGTCTCCTTGGCCACACGTGTGAGGCTCTCTCCAGGGATGATGCCTTCGTTCCCCACAAAGTGACACGTATGTCTTTCTCCTAATAAGCAAGGGCGTCCAGAGTGGAATCCAGTCTTCCAACTGTGGCCTCGTCAGACTAGAACCTGCTATGTGCCCCTTTCCTAGGCATAGAGAACACAAGGCAAACATTCCACCCACCCCCACCCCCGCCTCATCAGGGTTTATGACCTCATGCAGGAGAATGCCAGTAAGAGAATATTCCAGGCTGTTAAGTAAACATAAGCGTGCAGTGTTTTGTGATGAGAGCAAGGACGGGGACCTAGCCTAGCCCGGTTCAGGGAAGGCTTCCTGGAGGAAGTGGCGATTAACTGTGTTCCAAAGGTTGGGTGAGCAGAGAAGCATTTCAGCAGAGGAGCCCTAGAAATGCAAGAGAATGAGTATGGACCTACCTCAGGACTTTTGCACACGCTTTTCCCTCTGGTTGGAACGTTTCCCATCCGGTTTCTTTGTTGAGATCTTTGGAGATTGGCAGCTCCCCCTCATTTATGGTCCTGTCTGCCTCCTCGCATCACCAGGTCCTATTATCTGACCGCCGAATGCCGTGTTGGTTCCAGCAAGGAAGAGCAGAGGGTGGGAGGTGTCTCTGGCGTGGCCTCCAGCCCCGGCCAACAGAACCCCTGTTAAGGCATAGACTCTGGAGCCACACTGCTTGGGTTCAAATCCCAGGTCTTCTACTTTCCAGCTTTGTGACCTCAGGAAAGTGAATTCCCAATCCGAGCAGGCTGTAAAAAAAGGATGAAAATACTCTCTAACCCTGAGAGTTATAGCAAGGACTCAATGAGGAAATGCATGTAACACAGTTAGCTTAGGGCCCCGAACACAGTGAGCACTCAATTGATGGTGGCAAAAATAATAACAGTGATAACAGTAATGACGTGGGCTGCTGCTTAAAGGAGTAAAAGGAAGTGGGCACTCTCCCCAGGAATGAGGAAGGAGAACTTCCCATGAGACAGCTCCAGACTGTCCCCAGAGACAAGGTGGGCAATTCCTGATGACTGATGACCTTGAGGCCCAGCCACCTTTCCTGGAAGCCTTTCGCCTTGAACCCAAGGGTGTCTCTCCAGCCGGACTGTGGGCGTAGAGCTAAGTAAATACTTCGTCGTCGATCAGCCCCCGCGGTCCAGATGTTTCCCCAGAGGCTCAGATGGGGGTGAGTGGGAGGTCCCGTCCAGGTCTCGTTAGCTGTGCCTGCAGAAAAGGTATAAGAGGAGATGGGGTGGGATACATCTCAGCCCTGAGCCTTGGGACCCCTGGCCTCTGTTGTCACGACTGGACACCTCGTAACTCCTGACTGATGTAGGCGGGGAGACCTGATATGGTAGGTCCTCGGGACCTCTGAATCAGTAAGAACAAAAGTGTATCGTTGATACACCTTTAATAAATACCATGCACTGGGGCGCCTGGGTGGCTCAGTCGGTTAAGCCTCCGACTTCGGCTCAGGTCATGATCCCGCAGTTCACGAGTTCGAGCCCCGCGTCGGGCTCTGTGCCGACGGCTCGGAGCCCGGAGCCCGCTTCGGATTCTGTGTCTCCCCCTCTCTCTGCCCCTCCCCTGCTCTCTCTCTCTCCCTCTCAAAAATAAACAAACATTAAAAAAAAGTAAATAATAATAATAAATACCTGGCACCATACTAATCATATATCATCTCGCCAAAAACTTTCTACGGCTCTGCGGTGTGGGTCCTACTTTACCTCCATTTTCTAGAGTGGGGAAACTGAGGTTCAGAGAGGTGAAGTCATTTCCCCAAGGCCTGTTTGGTCAGCTGCAAACGGAGGCTCTTATCATTTAGGTACTTAAAACAATCCTTTTCCCCTCTACTGCCTGTCTCTTAGCAGCTGGGATCTTGGGACAGGGACCTCAACCCCCGTGTGCCTCTTACTGTCGCAGAAAGGATCAAAACCGGTTAGTGGGTGCCCGAGGCTCATGTCAGTATCTGCCTTGCCACAACGATGCTGTGGGGGATTATCTGAATGATGAATGTATTTCTTCTTCGGTGTTTGTTGGTCATTTTATTTCTTTATTTTGTGAATGGTCCCTTCATGGAGTTCCCTCACTAGATTGGCATTTTGATAAGGTGTGTTTTTTTGGGGGGTTTTTTTTTTTGAAGACTGGAGAAACTTTGTGACAAAGGATATATTGGTACTCAGCACCAGGCCCCCACCCCACGAGTATGGGATGGGGATTGATCACAGGGGCTACGTCAGGCTTTGACTCCCCGCAGCCTTCAAGGACCAGGGGGTGGCTTCCACACTGGGAGACCAGCAGACAGACTTCAGGGGAACAGGGAATCAGGAGTTCACACGAGAATTAAACAAGATTCCCCTCTTAGTGGGCCACCCAGACTCATCGAAGAGAGCCAAGGTCTTCGAGGAGAAGATCGGTCTCCCTTCTATTACTGAAGAGCTCTGAACTCCCAAGGGGCCTCTGCCGGGGTGGGGGGGGGGCTGACTTCCTGCCTGGGACCTTTCCAAACCTTCCTCTTGAACCCTGGCCGACCAGCTCTCCTTCCCTGCTCTCCCTTCCCTCCATGCCCCCCTGCTGTGGGCCCTGCCCCGGATCCTGGCAACATCCTGTTCTTCCCTTGAACGAAACTCCCCCTCCAGCTTCCCAGCGCGATAGGAATCTTAAAGAAATGCTTCCTGTCTCTTGACCACCTTATCGCCCATTCCTCCCGAATGGCTGACGTTCAAGAAACACACAGGCAGCCCTGCACTCCCTTCTAATTTTAAACCTGCCCTCTGAAGCTCTCTCCTCTTCCTTCTTAAGGTTCCGGGAAAGGCCAGAGGGTGTCAGAGGTCTCTGGTGACCCGCTGAGTCAGCAGAGACTGAAGGTCTCCTCCAGTTCCCAGGGAAGGAGTCTGGAGCTGGGAGATCCTGGGTGAGGCCACTCACGGGCCCGGCCCCGGCAAGCCTGATGTTCCAGGGGCAGCAGATGCTTACGTAGGGTATCTTTCCTGAACTCATAAACGACGTTAGGAATAAAGGCCGCGCAGGGGTATCCGAGTGGCTCCGTTGGGTAGGGATGGGACTCTTGATTTCAGCTTAGGTCATCGTTTCGTGGCTGGTGGGTTTTTAGCCCCGCTGACGGCACGGAGCCTGCTTGGGATTTCTCTCTCTTCCTCCCTCTCTTCCCCTGCCCCCTCCTCTCTGTCTCTCTCTCAAAATAATCATAATAATCATAATAATAAAAGAATGAACGGGGTAGAGATACTCAAACACGTGTATCACGTAAGGAGCCAGGAAAAACTGGGGCATGGACATACCGGATGGTCCTTTGACTCGTGCAATACTGTGTGGCACAGGCCCCAACATCCAGGCATTCACGTCTGCTGGCGGAATCTGACCACTCTTGGTCCTCGGGAGGCTGACTTCCGGCCGCGTCACGTGACCCGGTCAGGCCCCCGCCAATGAGAGCGCGGCTGGCCAGCGATTGGCTGTGGAGGAAGACGTGACGCAAGTCGGCCCGTTTGGGACCAACGGAAAGCGGAGGCTGAGGCTGACTTTTCTGAACTTGGGGCCGAGTCGCCCTTTCCGGCGGATGGAGCCGTCGGGCCGCTGACGTCCCTGTCGGGCTGGAGCCTACGGGAGGGGAAGCGGAGCCGGGATCCAGAAAGGACAAGCAGAAGACCTGACCTCACCTGATTCCTCGAGTCTGTCTCTGAAGCCAGTTTTTATTTATCTACTTATTTATTTATTTATTTATTTATTCATTAAAAAAATTTTTTTTAATGTTTGTTTATTTTTGAGAGAGAGAGAGAGAGAGACAGAGCATGCGCAGGGGAGGGGCAGAGAGAGACGGAGACACAGAATCCAAAGCGGGCTCCAGGCTCCGAGCTGTCGGCACAGAGCCCGACGCGGGGCTCGAACTCACGGACCGTGAGATCATGACCTGAGCTGAAGTCAGATGCTTACCTGGCTGGGCCACCCAGGCTCCCCTGAAGCCCGTTTTCCTCTTGGAATTTTCAGCCATCTGAGCCAATAAAATCCCTTTGTCTTTAGTTTTCTGTTGCTTGTAACCAGAGACAATGGTCACC